CCTCCCATGATAGCTTTTAGGCAACCCAATAGTCTGCGGAACCTGCTGGTGCGGGCTGAAGTGTCTGATAATAGAAGTACTTCTGGAGAATGTCGTTCGTGTGATGAAAAACGCTGCAAATGCTGCCTACAGATGCATCACTCATCAATTTTTCACAGTAAGGCAACCGAAAATAACTATTGGATATTTTGCAATGTTAACTGCAAAAGTATGATTGTTATTTACATTCTAGAATGTTCGGTTTGTGGCCTCCAATATGTTATTGAGTCAAAGCAGCCTTTCCACAAACGGCTCAATGGCCATAGGAGTGATATCTCTAAGAAGCCACTTCTCCCAGTTTCTCAGTATTTCAGACAGTCTGGTCACAAACTTTAACCGCATGAAGATCCTAGTGATTGAAGAGAACATTCACTGGAGTGATGCCCAGCGACAGGTTCGGGAAAGCTGTTGGATAAAGGAACTAAATGTACATAATCCAAACGGCATCAATAAAAAGTACTAAGTTTTTTTTTTCACTCACTTTGGGATGTAAATATACACAGTCACGTATATTTGAGTATTGAGTTTATGATGTTCAGGATTTTGGATTAAATCAATAGACCAAAACTTACCTGTATTACTGACCTATCTTTATACATATAATCAGTATAGTTAAAATTATTGACACATAATGAATGCTATTTGTTAAGCCGAAATATTTGTCAACACGATTTATTAACAACATCTTCGTATAATACCACCTTATATTAGTATCGTTGTGCAAATCTCTAGACTTATATAATTTTTTCCTTATCTGCACAGTATCGTCTATTCTAGACGATCCGGTACATAATAAATTTGCTGGTCGGTCCTTTTTATAGACTTCTATATATATATATATACAATTTTCGGTGCTTGGCAATAATTTGCATTTTATAAATATATATATATATATATATATATATATATATATATGGCCTTCCAAATACCGTTTCGATTCCTAACATCACTGAAGAGACATTAATTGTCGAGATACGGATATGGTGTACAAATTTTTGCACCTCATGTTTGCGGTATACCATCTTTTCCGCAAGTTTATTGTTTTCTGTTTGGTAATAATTTGATAATAAGATCTGTTTTGTTACATCTTGTGATCCGTTTATTTGGCAATCGCCAACGGCAGTCAGCAGGGTTTAAGAACATCAGTTGTTCGACCTGCTAGTCAAATGCGTTTTGTTAAAATATACTTTTTCACTCATTTGGTCTTTTGGAAAATGTTGTTTGTGCTGTATTTAGACCCCTCTACCAAGAAATTTGTTTTGCATGCACACGTATTTAAATTGCGGTTTTTATCCAACGCAATCATAGGTTTGAACGTTGTTTTCAATTAAGACTTGTATATATATATATATGTATTTAGACCCCTCTACCAAGAAATTTGTTTTGCATGCACACGTATAAACATTGCGGTTTTTATCCAACGCAATCATAGGTTTGAACGTTGTTTTCAATTTAGACTTGTTTATATGTTTTCGTTTGGGCTTGTATTACATTTGCCTTCGGGTTTATATGATCCGTTCATCATATTTTGACTCTTTCAAAATTCACGAGTCTATCCTAAATTGAGGTAAATTATATGGCCTTCCAAATACCGTTTCGATTCATATATATATATATATATATAGCTAACATCACTGAAGAGACATTAATTGTCGAAATCCGGATATGGTGTACAAATTTTTGCACCTCATGTTTGCGGTATACCATCTTTTCCGCAATTTTATTGTTTTCTGTTTGGTAATAATTTAATAATAAAATCTATTTTGTTACATCTTGTGATCCGTTTATTTGGCAATCGCCAATGGCAGTCAGCAGGTTTTAAGAACATCAGTTGTTCGACCTGCTAGTCAAATGCGTTTTGTTAAAATATACTTTTTCACTCATTTGGTCTTTTGGAAAATGTTGTTTGTGCTGTATTTAGACCCTCTACCAAGAAATTTGTTTTGCATGCACACGTATAAACATTGCGGTTTTTATCCAACGCAATCATAGGTTTGAACGTTGTTTTCAATTAAGACTTGATATATATATATATATATATATATATATATTTCGTCTAAACATCAGCCCAACAATGTTAGATCTGTAAATTTGCTTTCGCAAATTTTTTTGTTCTTCCCTCGCCAGGATTCGAATTCATGCTACAGAGATATCGTGACACCAAATCGCCTTGCAATTTATCCGACACGCTAGATCATTCGACCACCTAGGCTTCACAAATAATAAAGCTTTCGGTGGCCGGGTGTTACCTTTCCTCGTCAGTTTTAATCTAGCGTCGTAATACAGTACATGATATGTAAGGCATGAAGATGGAATTGTTACTAATCAGCTGAGAAATCTATTGTAACGGATCCTACAAATTAATGCAAGATACAGTCACAGAAATAATTATATTTATAAGTACGTCTGAACCAGTGACAACTCTACAACATATTTATCCATCGGATCACCAGCAGTAATGGTGATACAAGGCTGTGTATATTCTGTATATATACTTCGTCTTAACATTAGCCTAACAATGTTAGATCTGTAAATTTGCTTTCGCAAATTTTTTGTTCTTCCCTCGCCGGGATTCGAACTCATGCTACTGAGATATTGTGACACCTAATCGCCTTGCATATTTAGAAAATGCAAATTATTGCCAAGCACCCAAAATTGTCAAACATCTTTCCCAATCCTCCTGTCTTAGCTTTTCGGAGACCAGCAAGTCTGAAAGACTTATTTGTGAGAGCTGACGTCTCCTCTAATAAAAACTGTTCAACTGCAGGATGGTGCAAGTCGTGTGGTAACAGACGATATCTGACTTGCCAACAAATACTGAATACTTAAACACTTACTTGCCAATCCACTGCGTCTGTGTACACTATATTTTGTAATGTAACTTGCAAAACACAGAATGTTGTATACCTTCTTCAGTGTCGAAGTGGCATGCAGTATGTTGGCGAGACAGAACAGCCATTCAACAAACGCATGAATGGTCATCGAAGTGACTACATCTGCAAGCCCGACCTCCCCGTAAGTCGTCATTTGAGATCACCTGGGCACGACCAAGCTCGTCTCAAAAACCTTACAATCACAGTCATAGACCACAACGAGGGTTGGTCAAGGGCCAAAAGACTTGATGGGGAAGGGTTTTGGATAAGAAAGCTAAGGACAGTTTCCCCAGAGGGCATAAATGAAAAAATATAGAATGAGTCACTCATTTTTCTTACCATCAATCATTTTCCTGATACACTTATTTCCAGTTACTCCGGCATCCTTACTTGACTTATACAGTTTTAAGGATTTTTTTGGATTTTTTTAATTTTACTAGTTGAAATACCAGGCTTCTTTTCATTTGGTAGGGATGTACAACTACGCATCCACGTCAAATTATTTAACCTTAGTCATAATTTACTATTATTTTTTTCCTATCATTAGTAAACTGCTATTTATTTGGGATGATAAATACACAGACTCTGTTTGACATATTTTTCCAGCTTATATCAGTGCTGTTTATTGGGAATGTATTTAAACGCAGTTGTTGTAACATCTTGACTGACGTTTTTTTGGAATTTTAGAGTTGTGCCAGTTCATATCTCTAATTACTATTTTTATTTTAGGCATGTCTTTGAGTCGTTTTTTTTGGAAATTTTGAAATTTTACTAGCGTCTCTACATTTGATGTTCGGGTGAACCTGTTTCACTTTTTGTATTGTACAGCATCAAGATTGCTATAGTTTAATAATCAGAATATATTGATCTGATTCATTTTACATCGTGCTCATACTGATGAAGGATATCCGTTATCCAAAATATTTATAGTTACATTTGTTCATTTATTGTCGTTTTTTGGTGATGTTGTACCCTTTTAGACTGGTTATATATATATATTTATCGCTCAGGGTAAAATATTTGGCATAAAGAGCCAACCCGTGGTAATATCACGATATATTCAAGCCTCCAAAAATTATTTCGATTCTAATAGGACAAATACGGCAATTCTTTTGGATCGAAGCGCTCTAGGTGGAGGCAAGTATTTGCCGTTCCCATAAAATAACGCACTATTAGATTGGCATAAAAGAACGGAGCAAACTGAATTAGTGACAGGCTTAAACTATTTACAATAACGTATTTAGATATATAGTTTCGGATGAATGTAAATGATTATTTACGTATATGTCTTATATGTATATAAAAAAAATGGCTTATACCACATTTTAGCATCGTTTGTTTACGTTTCTTCTTGTGATGATTTTCGGTTTCACAATGTGTATTTTCCCGTAAAATACTTATATTCTCACGTCATTGTTTTATGACGTCGGGTACCTCATTCATTAAAAGGCATATGACGTGGGAGTACGATCGGAACGGCCCAGGCAATATATATTCATATTTTACCACGGGTGTGTACTCAAAGCGTCATGTTACATTTATATATATAAACGAGGCTATAACATTGAGGCCAAAGTATATGTGATGATGTTTAATTGCATGCAAGCTATGTTTTACAATGTTTTAGACATGGATTCATCGTTGAGTGTTTGTCGGGTAGAGGTATATCACAGATACTATTTCCCGACAACCGTTTAAACCATATTTCAGTTAGATATAATTTTTGAGTGAAGACACTAGATTTGAAATTCTTTGTGTACCTATTCTGAGCATTTTTACTGTGGAGTGTCTAAAAAATTGAGAAAAAGAATAAAATGAAAAAACAAAACAGCACATGGCTAAAGTAGTAATGAATCAAAATGGTTTGACGTTAACTATTGGTTGAGGACGAGTAATACCTTTCATTTTCAAAACCCCATGTCAACAGATTATATGTTAGCACACGCAAGCATCACCCCATGATAATTATATTGCACATGTTTGTTATTTAAATTAAATACAAAGTTAAACGCAAACATTATATTACGCCTTTATGTGATCCTTACCCTCAATACAACATAAATGAATTATGTTTATTCTGTGATACAGGACCTACTAAATGCTGCTTCGAAAAATGACATTGAGAAATTAGAAAGGTGCCTAAAAGGAGGGGCAAATATAAACTATCAGAACGAGGTGAGTTATAAGAAAAGTAAAACATGATAAACATCAAACTTTTGTATTTATATTTTGTTAATTATTTCAAACCTTTTGAATGAAATATACAAAAGTAAAACAGGCTTCATTGGCTCATTTTAAGAATATAGATCATAAAAATGTACAATTGAAAACATTATATGAAAAAAAAACTTTTTACAAGCAACTTTTGATATGGATTACCTTTTGGAGTAAGACTTTTGTTTTTGTTTGAAATTTTTAAAATTATGTATCCATGTCCTACTGGCAACATGTATTAGTAATTACTAACTTGTCTAGATAAATTGCAACTATTAAATTCCCAACAAAATTGTCACCGTATTTTGAATTTGATATTCATATTGTTTTTGCCATTTCCATGTAATGTGAGGGTACCTAAATTGCACCTATTGTGACAGTTTAATTATCCAAAAAAAAAGTTTCAATTCTGTGTTTATTTTGTGAAGGTATCCTTACTGTATTTACATTATAGTTACACACATATAGTTTTGAAACCGTATTGAATCATAAAAAATGAAATGGAACAGACCCCCAAGCGATTCCATGATTCTGATATGAGGAGTACCCAAATTGCAACCAATTCTAAAATCACATCCTCGAAAATCGAACACATATGTTTTTTTCTATTTCTGCAAATATTTAGAGCAATTTTACATTAGCGTTCATTTGTTCGGAAATGGATTTTTGTAACAATAGTTGTTTGCCCATTTCTAAAAGATGACTTTATGTGAACGTTTTCGTAGATTTAAGGTTTTCAGTGAACGGTCCATCTGTAAAGATATATTGTCAACGTTCTGTGTTTATTTAAACATCTTGACTGTATCTATGTTTGAATTTGATAATAAAGTCAATTTATAAAATTACAAATTGGTTAGTCTCATTGAAAGCTTGTAAAATTTCTACAGCTATTTTTGTTGTATACCTGTAGGTGTAATTTGGTTACCCGGTGCAATTTGGGTACTGTGACATGTTATTATTAATTCTGTCTTTTTTGGTATATACTGGTGATTATAGTTCCCTTGCTTATTTTCTGTTGTTGGTTTCATCTACTCAGTTTTTTTTTTCTTAATGCCGTAATTTTTCCTAATCAATGTACATATTTGAAGACCTTTAAAACAAATGTCCCCTTATTATGACTAGCTAGTGAAAATATGTAAGCAACTATTTTCCAATACAGTTATTTGATTCTTATATCGGCTGCCGGGTAGACGTACTCCGCTGAATGCGACACTACGTTGGTTAATTATATCAGCAGTGAATTTTATCAGTAAAAGTTACGCTTACATTGCCATGTTTTGTTTTATTTGTATAGTGGGATAGTAATACTGCACTTCACGAGGCTGCATTGAAAGGGCACACCGAAATCATAAAGAGGCTAATCGACGGTGATATTGATATTAATTTTCAGAATGCGGTAAGTTGGTAATAAATCACATTGATTTTATCGATCTATGTCAATGTTTTATATGGCTTGACCAATTCAAATCTAATTGCACTGTGAAAATAAATGAATTCTCAGTTAAGCTGACGCCAGAATGCATTATCACAATCTAATGTAAACTTTGACAATCCTGTATTATCGCTAACGTTCGAAAAGGAAATAAAGGGAAACCCCACAAAAAATGAAAACATTGTATTGTGTTTATTATGTATAAAAAGCAAAAATGCAAAAAATATTAAAGTTTCTCATTTCTACATAGGATATCACCATCGGTTTTAAAATGAGAATATCAAATCTCTACATGTAGCCATCTTGCCGGCATTCTGGTTAGTAAAACCACGCGTTAACTATAAACCACAAAGAACCCAAACAAGCAAAGAAAATATAGTAGTAATTAAGTGTAAAAGTCTCTTATTAATTGTACGGTTGTTTTACCCGACAAGATAATGACAAACAAATACACAGCCTCATAGATCCAGACATAGTTTGTACATATCGGTTTATAATTAACGTCATACGGTTTTTTCACACAATTTTTTTAATTAGCAAGTGAGTCGTTCTTAAGCTTTTTTTTTTTAAATAAGTTTATGTAACAAATAAAATCAAAGTAGAAAATTATAGTTTAGATTACTTTGATTGACTTTCTCATATTTCATAGTCAAACAAGCGGTGTTCCGTGTAAAAAGAGTTTTCAAAATCGTATTTTGTTCATAACGATATAAGTAATATATTTATTTAATTCGGTCTTTCTTTAATTTGATCATCAGCATTGCTAAAAAATATTGTCAGAGGTATTGTGAGGTGACATTACCAGGTAATCGGGCGATTTCCTGTTGGGCTGTACCACACTTATTTCAGAATTACATAATGAGGTTCATGCATCACTGTGTGTAGATCAGTTACACAGCCTGTAATTCGGAACTCCGGGTGTTGTACATCATTATATATCATGTGTACATTTTGTTTGTCCGACAGTGATACCAGAGACATTCTAAATGCATACGTGTAGGCAATTTTACAGCCACTTATTTATGAATAACTTATTCTGGTGAAATGAATGATACTTATGATTCTAAGTACACATTAGATGACATAAAACTCCATTTAGATATTTTCCAATGGTAAGTAAAGTATGAAAAACGTAAGTATGTACTCGTTGTGTCAAATTATGGACATTTTGAAATATATAAATATTTCTATCATTTCATAAAAATGCACATACATGTCGATCACTGGTTGATACAGATAGAAAGATATGGAACTAAAGATAGTCACACTTTAAATATGTAAAGTATATTGAAAAAGAAAACCTCCAGCACAAATATTATCTTAATTAGGTTCAATCCATTACTTGCTTTAGTTTTTTGAAATTATGCACAGAAGTAAAGTCTAATCACAGATTTATATTTCAATTCGATTGATCTAGAACAGATTAAGAAATACGGCATCGCAATTGTTAGTTATAGTGTTTGATAATGTGAACCTAGTGAAATAGCACGTGAAATTGCAACTGAGCGTGGTTAGCTCTAAATGTCTCTGCTTCCGCGGTTCAGTTGTTATATAGACACACAGAGAACAATCGGTATCTAGGTTGATCTACTTTCGATAACGCTTCATAGATTGATAACAAAATATTCAAGATTTACAATTTATAATGAATGAAAAGATGTGGAATATTATTGTCAATGGCATAGATCAAATTAGCCCAATTAATTTGTTTACGTACTATAGCAACTTATATCCTATGTGTGTACATTATACCCGAGACTACTATCTTACAGTATATTAGTTTTAGATTATATGTTCTGGAATATACGTTTTGCTACGATTTTTAGCAAACGCATTTTTAAACTCTAGTCCTCAGCAAAAGCGCTGCTTTTTGTATTATCTGAGAAGCGTAATTTTGGTTTAAATTGTCTATGGAGGCTATGAAAAATAATTTGGATAGGTTTAGGCTGACTTAATATAATACCAACCGCGCCGTACTCAGTATTTTTGTTCACTTACGTCATATAAATTTCAGATCCTTCAGTTTTCATATAAATATAAATATCCAAATTTCGTTTATAAACGTACACACTTAACATATTCCTAAAAAAAATAGTAACGTATGGCCTAGTAAAGCATGTAGACATAAACCATCGTTGACAGAGATACGACCACGAAACATTGATCTTAAATATTACATAAAAGTCTTCGGTCTGCATACAAAAGAATATCAATATTTGAACACATGTAACAATGTTTAATTTAGGTAAACGGACAGAAATTAACTGGACAAAATTCAAAGGACAAAAGAACAAAAGGTCACAATATAAAAAGTCACTGGACAAAAAGTCACTTATTACATAGGATAAATTTGTTGAAAATTGTTTGAATGCATGTGTTTAATAAAAAAAGATCTTGTAATATTTACTTTTCAGTAAATTTATTCATTTTTAAGTTGAGGAAATTGTTCATAAGCCTTGGTATGTTTTTTTCTTAAATTAAATCCTGCCAGACTGGTAAAAAGTAAAATCACAAAATTACTGAACTCCGAGGAAAATTCAAAACGGAAAGTTCCTAATCAAAAGATAAAACACACCAAACAAAATGACGACGACTGTCACATTCCTGCCTTGGTACAGGCATTTTCTTATGTAGAAAATGGTAGATTGAACCTGGTTTTAAAGCGCTAAATCTCTCACTTGTATGACAGTCGCATCACATTCCATTATATTGACAACGATGCGTGAACAAAACAAACAGACACAATAGGTAAAAATGTCACATATAGGGGGACAACAGCAACACGAACTCAACCAAAAACTGGGTGTGATTTCATGTGCTCCGGGAGGGTAAGCCGATCCTGCTCCACATGTGGCACATGTCGTGTTGCTCATGTTAATACAAAGCCTGAAAATAGTCTAGATCTAATTCGGTAAGTCACATTCGTGAAAAGGGAACGGGATGGTAGTTACGACATAGGTAAATGAGAGTCAACATCTTCCTAGGTTTATATCTTTAATTATAAGGATGACTGATACCTGAAATTTATATATATATACAGTAAATTAGTAAATGATTAGTTATCTCCTCCCCCGGGGACAAGTTTTTTTAGGATACGAACAAAACTTAAACAAATAGAGTCAAGTCTATAGGAAAATAAATTTTCAGGAATGTTCTGTTAAGTCTTCTAGACGCGAACGTAATTAAACGCATGATGTCCTTTCACAATTTTAAACAAAAATTCTCTAAATTCACTTATTAATGTCTTTATATAATTCATTAATCAGTTCCTGATTCATCAATGTAATGTTCTGTTGTGTTGCGAAGGCTCGGTCTTCGTGGTGGCAATAGTTCCTTTTTCCCAGCTTTATTTTGTGGCTGAAGACGAGAAAGAGCACGTGGTATCTTAGTCATAACAGGTAAATCTGGTTCAGGGGTGTGGAGGTATGACTAGTCCAAATCTACTTGTGGAGGCTGTTGAACTGTCTGAGTTGCCGGTTTTTGAGTGGGGATTGTAGATGGTGTCTCATTCAATACAGCTGGTTGACTTAAGATTCTTGTTGGTGATAAAGACAAGGGAATCTTGAGCACTTGTGGCTGTGTCGTCTTGGATGTAGTTGGAGATTTCAAGATTACTTTCTGATGTTGAACTGTAGTAGGTTCCATCAAAGTACCTTGTTTTGGTTGGTTTGTAAAGGAGGGAACTTTCGAAGGTGCTGGCGGTTGAGGATAGTAACTCGACCTGTGCCATCTACACGTATAACATACTGGCGTACTTCAACAACTGTTCATGTTTATTCCCATCTCCTGGGATGGTTGCCTACCAAGTTTTGTATGTACACATGATCTCCAACCTGTAATGTCGGCAGGTGATGAGTGTGTTCATTCCACCGTTAATGTTCCCTCGAATGACGTTTGGCAAGTGCCATCTCCTGATGAGACATTAACTCAGTCCATGTTTCGTGAGGAGAATATCTACCCATCAATATGGCAATGGCATCACAAATGGGTCGTCCAAAAAGAATCAATGCTGGTGATGCTTTTGTCTCTTGTAAATAGAATTTTTGTACATCAGTACAGTTGTCTGGAATTTATCAACATCCATCGATCCAATAGCAGTTATGTTGTCCACCGGCATGCGTTTCACTGTTTAACCGCCATCTCAGCCCTGCAGTAAGTGTATGGGTGTACAACTGATGACAGTCTATGACGATCCCTCCCATACCCCCCCCCCCCCCCCCCTCCCCCGGGGCTTAAAAAATCTTGCGTCTTCCCTGATGTGAACTGAGGACCTCCTTCGGACATCAACTCTTCTGGGATGCCAAATGTCACGAACGTCTCCAGAAGTCTCTTGACAAGTCCCTCTGCACCTGATTCAGACTTGTGTACCATTGGCCTGTTTGTATACCTGTCAACAATAACTACATAGTCATTACTGTTATATGCGAAGTAGTCACTGCAAATCATCTGGAATGGATAATCTGGAATTGTTATGTCAGATGTTGACTGCATAGGGTTTGACTTGGCCATCTGATGGCAGTGGACACATTGGTCTCTCACCCTGGCAATATCTACTGTGATCTCAGGCCAATACACAAAGTCCATGGCCCTTGCACGCATAGTGCTGACTCATTGGTGGACTGCGTGTAGAGCATTGAGTACTGGTTTGCGAAGAGCTTGTGGTATAACAATTCGTTGGCCCATAAGAACTACACCATTCATGATGCATAAACTGGATGCAAAGCGATGGTAAAGACGCAAGTCTGTTGGTAGCTCCTTGTAGTCTTCTGGGAACCCTGTCTCCAGCTGCCTGGATGAGATTTACAAACAAAGGGTCTGATGCAGCGGCCTCATGGACCATGCTCCAAGGAACAACTGTGATAACAGCATTCAAGGCACAAGTGACAGCAACAACTTTGGAGGTGTCATTAGCTGTATCAGTTTCCTCTGTATGTAGACATAGACTGGTGAGTGTATCATGATAA